TTCCTTCCCCCAAAACAGAACATTTCTGGCGACGAGGATGCTAGACATGGCCAGCTTAGGGAATATTGAAGAGTTTAACCCTAAGAATACGAACATGGAACGCCTAGAGCAGTGAGCAGTATTTCGTGGCAAATGAAGTCGAAGCCGATTCTTCTACGTCGCATCGATGTCGATCTATCTTGATTTCAGTCATTGGCCGGAAAACGTACGACTCTCTGGCTGATCTGTGCTCGCCAGCATCCTCTTTTTCGAAAACTTACGCTGAGTTGACAGCCATTTTAAAGAAGCAGCTCGCCCCGAAGAGATTAGTTATCTCTTAACGAAACCGTTGTCACACCTTCGTACAAGCGGAAAACGCCAGTGTTTCCGACTTTTCCGCTCAACTTCAGCGCCTCGCTTCCACTTGCAACTTCGGCACCCGTTTGAACGAGGCCTTACGAGATCGCTTTGTGTTTGTTTTCGAAGCAGAGCCACTCAGAAAAGCTGCTTACCGAAGATGTAATTTTGAGAAAGCACTCCAGATTGTTCAAGGTCAAGAAACTGCAGAGACTAATGTTGCTCAGCTTAACCGCCTAACGATGTGCTCAAGGTGCACATCACACCAGGAGGTCGTCAAAAGCCTCCTCACAAAGGGAAGAATAAGCACCCACCTAAAATACCGCCTTTTTCAGGCAATCAATGGAAATCCACCTGTTTAAGTTGTGGTAAGCAGGGACACCCACGTTCCCACTGTAAGTACAGAAATAATGTTTGTACGTATTGATCTATAAGTTTTTGTACCTTACCTGTAAAAGAAAAAAAAAACAATATAAAATACAAAACAAAGTAACGAAATTTTACTTGTCATACATGTGAAGGAGTGAGCCACATTGCTGAGGCCTGTATGAGTAAGTCCAGCAGAGTGTACGAGTGAACGAGATGGTGTTATTTGAAAAGTTGAATTCATCGAGTGGGCTACGCAAGAGGTAAGAGGTGGACAGAAATACACACAGCTGGACCTCAAGAACGCATGTCAACAGCTTAACCTTGATGAGGAGAGTCAGAAGTTTGTCACCATAAACCCACACCGTGCATGGCCTCCATCTTTGAGAGAGGCGCAGCATTGTGTATTATCACTATTTGATGACTAATTATCACTTGTGATATATCATGAAAAATCTGCTTTGTTTCTTGTAAGCGATGTTGATAATATCATGATGTATCACTGGTTTTATAAGGGAATGATTTTTTTTGATATTTTGCATTAGGTTATCATATAAGCATATGTTATCATGATATTATCAGAATTTTAATTAGTCAGAATGTCTTCTTCTCCTTGTAATATAGTGATAAATCATGATATTATCAGAATATACATTGTATAAATAGGTAGGAATGTTTTCGTCCCCCTTTGATAGAGTGATAAATCATGATATTATCAGAATATCTAATCAAATACGAATGTCTCCTTTTCCCTGCGATAAAGTGATATATCATGATACAATACAATGCTGTCCCTTGAAAACGAATAAAAGCTAACCGCAAGCAAACAGCAGTGAAACTAACCGATTTTGATATTACCATAATACATCAAACAATTACTGTCAGTGTTCTTCTTTGTTACGTGATATAATGACTTGACTAAGATTTGAGAACAAGAGTGATACATGATATGATTGCTTGCTATTCTGAAGTGTACTTTTCCGTGCTATTCTCATGATGATTTTTCAGCAATTATCATGATAATCTCCGATGATAATGATATTTTGATATTTGATATGCACAATGTGATAAAAATGATTTCTCAATATTATCATTCTATTATCACCAAATATCAATAAAGTATCGAAATATCAATAACCAAACTAATGATGTTTTATCAATATATTTTGATAAACCGCAATCCTGCACCTTAGTGCTACCTTGATACACTGTTGTAAGGTAGATAGTTATAAGGAAGAATGTTGACTGTCATTGGTATGCTCATACCGGCCGCGCGGTTCCCGGGCCCGAATGACGTCACAAGCTCAATGTTGCATAAATGGCTGATTATTTTGTTGTGGTTGATTTTTAAATTAGTTTTAAATTAGTTTTTGTGATAAAAATGTAACGCTATAAGCGAACGAAATAGTCCGTGCGCAAAAGAACTTTCCCACTTCAGCCTGTCTGTTGCGAGGGAGAGGCCCATGGGAGAGGTCAGGAAAATGGCCAGAAATCCTCACCCGTAGAGGTGCTTGAAAAACACAGGGCTAGGGTTAGACTGTTAATTAGGGTAAGGACTTGTGTGGTGTGGGTAACTCGCCACAGAAAGGCTGCAGGGGAAAATTTTTTTGCGCACGGACTATTCCCATGGGAAAGGTCAGAAAAATGGTCCAAAATCCTCATCCGCAGAGGTGCTCGTGAAACTCAGGGTTAAGCTGTTGGTTAGGGTAATCACTCGCAAGGGGGGTGGGTGGGTAACTCGCCACAGACATGATGGAGGGAAAAATTCTTTTCTGCGCGGACTATTTGCATAGAAAATGTCAAGAACATGGCGAGAAATCCTGACCCGCAGAGGATACTTGAGAAACCCAGGGTTAGGACGGGGTGTGGGAAACCCGCCACAGACAGGCGCCGGAGGAAAATTCTACCCGCATGGACTATTGCAAAGGTAAAGGTCAGGAAGATGGCCAGAAATCCTCTCCCGCACAGGTGCTTGAGAAACGCAGGGTTAGGGTTAGGCTATTGTTTAGGGTTAGGACTTAGGGGTGGGTAACTGACTACAGTGAGGTTAGATTGGAAGAACTTTTTGCATACGGACTATTCCCATGGGAAAGGTCAGGGAAACGGCCAGAAATCCTTAACCGCAGAGATGCTTGAGAAACGCAGGGTTAGGGTTAGGACAGTTTTTTCGGGGGAGTGGGGGGGATTGAACGCAGTTACAAATTTTACAAATTTTACCGGACTTCTCGTTGCAGTTTCAAATTTAACAAATTTTGCGATTTTTCGTTAAACTCTACAAGATTTACAAAAATTCGCTGTTTCAACGATTTTTCGGCACATTGTTGCGAAATTTACAACTTTATGCTAATCCATCAGCAAGCACCGGCTTGTGGATTTTACAAACTTTACAAAATTTGCGATTTTTCGCTAACTTCACGATTTTTTGTCAACTCATTGCGAAATTTGCGATTTTTTACACTGCTTTGTAATGCTTATTCCACTTACTAGTGCCAGCAACCAGATTACAACTTTTGCGATTTTTCGTTAACTTTTACAAGATTTACAAAAATTCGTTGCCTCAACGATTTTTCGGCACATTGTTGTAAAATTTACAACTTGATGCTAATACATCAGCAAGCACCGGCTTGCGGATTTTACAAAATTTATACAATTTGCGATTTACTAGTAGCGGCGCTCAGATTTTACAAGTTAGCAATTTCTCGCAATTAACATAACACAAACAAACCGCCAAAGATGACAAGCATGTTTCTATTCTCTCTGGGACGATAAGAAGATAAGCCATGACCGCATCCATGTAACACAAAAAAGATAACAAACAGTACCGCATCCATGTAACACAAAAAAAGATAACAAACTGTTTTTCCCGCTTTTTTCACCGAGAATCGTAAAACGGGTCATGAGAAACTTAACGCAATCATATGAATTAACATAACACCAGCAAAACATAACATGACATAAGCGTTTCTAGTTCACTGAAAATCTATTCTACGTTCTAAAAGCGTGTTCGTATCACAAAACGATCTAAAACGCACACAGCGATGTTTAAGGGGTGTCTGGAAAACCCGAATAGCGAATAGCGAATAGTTGCGAATAGCGAACAGCAAATAGTCCCGAATAGCGAATAGCGAATAGTACGAATGGTGCGAATAGTGGCGAACAGTCTCGAATAGTGGCAAATAGTGGCAAACAGTAACAAATAGGATACCCAGTAGCACCTCAGGATGGGATTTTTCCGCTAGAAGGCACAGACGGTTATTAGGACAAAATGTGTTTCTAAACGTAATTTCTTCTGTTTTAACCGCTGCAAAAGCGTAAATACGTCTTTATTAGGTTATCCTTGTGTTTTCTGTTTTCTTAATGTCGGCGATGGACAGCCTCCTAGCCTGAGTCCGGAGAAAAAAAGGTAATAAATTCGCTGAAATTCTGTTGCTTATTTGGATAATTAATTAACGCTGGATATTAGATCTAAAGCGGTGACTATTGACGACTATTCGTCACTATTCGCCACTTTTCTCGACTGTTCGCCACTATTCGCNCGGAGAAGAAAAGGTAATAAATTCGCTGAAATTCTGTTGCTTATTTGGATAATTAATTAACGCAGGATATTAGATCTATAGTGGTCACTATTGACGACTATTCGTCACTGTTCGCCACTTTTCGCGACTGTTCGCCACTATTCGCCCTATTGGAGACTATTCGCACTATTCGGGACTATTCGCTATTCGCTATTCGTGACTATTCGCCATTCGTTATTCGGGTTTTCCAGACACCCGTTGACAGTACGATCTCGAGTGGCGATATCCGGTCACCTTGCCACCAGGGACGCCATGAACGTGCATTTGGCAACACTTGCAAATGCGATAGTATGACTCTGAAGTAACAAAGGGGTTAGGAAACCGACGCCACTTTTCTTTAACCAGCACATCGAAAGCTAACGAAGTCACAGTATTTTGACTTACTTTGACCACGTAAAAAATTACCTTTAAATTGAAGGCAAGCTTAAAATAATAGTTTGCTAAGTTGTAAAAACACCAAGGAGGTAATAATAAATCATAAAGGAACAAGGATGGTTAAAGATGGAGAAGACTGACACGGATTACAAACGACGAACTTGAAACATTAGGCTAAACTTTTCAAGATACGCAAACCGTGACGTAGCTCCTTTAACACCACATCGCAAAAATGAAGGACTTCCTCTAAAGGGATAGATGAAAAAGTTATTCGTAACAAATTTGAGACGACAGACCCTCCACCCCCTCAGGAAAAGTATTGTAAAAATGGAGGACAATACCCTTTTTCCGAAACAGAAAGGTTTATATAACAACAAAGTATTATGTTGGAGGTAAAATATTTATTCATATAGCTATAACATGAAATAGAAAACTTTTCATGGAAACAATCAAAATGCTTCTTAATTTACATTCTTAATAAGCGTGTTTTCCTGGGCTGGGTTAATGATGTAATTATTCTTGAAGTATTTTTGGTTGTGAATTGGTACATATACCTGGCGAGAAGTGTCCGATTCGTTTTCTACTTTAATTTTCAGCTACATGTAAAAATGTGCACTTTGAAATTTTTTATTATCATCTTTAATGTCACTTAAATACTGATCGAGTGACTTACTCTTCCCGAAAATGGTAGAGTCAATGTCAATTTTAGAATACCTGCTTTAGATCAGCATGTCCAGTCTTTTTGTCTTAAATCACACAATATGAGCACCTTATTGTTGCTCAGTCATTATCTTTCGTTGCTAACGAAATGTCGTTTTCACTTCGTTGATTGCCTTTTATGCCGAGTACAACTGATCTAAGCCCCACCGGGCCTCTCTTGTTTTCACAAGTAGGATCGTCTTGATTTTCTGCTTGAAATTGGGTGACACGGTTGCTGCGCTGGGGACCTCTCAAGGCATGAACAACTGATCTAAATCTCGCCAGTCCTGTCTTGTTGTCATCTCTCTTCTCTTTGGGTGATTGAGTAATTTTTTTGCTGCGCTGAACACCTCTCAAAGCAAGAGCCACTGATCTAAACAGCGCCAGACCTTTGTTGCTGTCTTGGTCTTGATTGACTCCCGCTGTAAGTTTGTTTTTATTCGCCAGTGCGGCACGCATGCGCTCAAGCTGCCCAGGTGTAAGCCGCTCAGTGCTGTGATCCACGGCATGTTCGCAGAAATCAGCTCCCAGTCTCTCCTCGTACTCAGAGAACCGGAAATGAATAAATCTACCGATGATGTAGAACTGGGCAAATGCGACAAACGCCGACCAGAGACCAATGGTTAAACAAGCCAGGAGCTGAACTCCTAGAACCTTAATATGGCCGCCTTTGAAGACCCCGTATGTCTCGGAGAAATCCTCCAAGCGGTCTTGCTCGACGAACAAGCCAACAGCTAACATGCCCCATATGGCCGATCCGGCATGGGTCGGAATGGCACTAACAGGATCATCAATTTTAAGTCTTTCTAACAATTGCCAGCCCAAAACTGAAATCGCGCTGCCAACAAGGCCTATGAAGATGCTCTCCCCAGGCCTAGCAACGGCGCAAATAGCCGTGATACTGACCAGGCTCCCTAGTATTCCTGACATGAGGGTCGGAACATCAACACGCTTTAAATACAACACACCGAACAAGTGAGCGAAAATGCCACCGCCAATGGACGCATTCAGAGTACAAACGGCTGATCTAGAGGCAAGTTTCCATTTACCACCGCTAACCCCAAAAGTGCTACCACAGTTGAAACCAAGCCAACCCCACCAGAGCATGAACGTACCTAGGAGGACATTTGTTGGAGAAGCCATCTTTTGTTTCAAGCCGACGCCGGTAAATTTGTTTCTTCGAGGTTTCAGCATGATAGTCCCAACCAAACCAGCTACCCCACCCACTAGGTGCACGGGGCTAGCCCCTCCTACATCTATTACTCCAAGCTTCTTAAGCCAGCCGTGTTTCCCCCAAACCCAGTAGGCAGGGAAACAAAATGCCAGGGTGTTTGTGAACGAGAACACCATGTACGCTTGCAGATTCGCACGTTCAGCAACGGCGCCAGATACGATTGTGGTCGCTGTTGTTGCAAAAGACGCCTGAAAGAAATACAAGGCGAACACGCTTCCCATCCTTGACTGGCTTGCATCTGCGAAAAAGTTCGCTGTCCCAGAAAATGAATTCGGCTGATCAGATTCTCCCCGGCTGAAAGCGAAGCCGAACATCCAGTAGGAAAGCCCGCCAAAAATCACGTCTAAGGCGTTTTTGACCATGATGTTAGTTTCGTTCTTCTTGGACACCATGCCTGCAGTTATATGGAAATACGATAAAGCGTTTAGATGTGCGTGGGCTCGGTTAACGGAACTAAAGTAAATAAAACTATTTGAACACAAAGTTGCATTGAGGATTAAAAGTGTTTAACGTTGTCTTTGAACAAATCAAAGATTACATTTTGACCTTAAAAACACGAAGCCTGTCAAAAAAAATTAGAATTGGTCAGTTGTTCAAACCTGTAAGAAAAAGATGACGCGAAATACGATAAGATGATCATGATGATCTAAACCAACGTTTCATAAATGAAAAGTGAGGGTACATTAAGATGAAGAAATCACGAGTGAACAACTATCAAATTAATATAAATTGTAATTCTGGGACTCTGTAAATAGAAATATTGATTAACTACGAAATGTTCCACGAAATAACAGAATTTATTAAAAGGTGAAATCTGTTGGTTCGGTGTTAAATTGACCCCATTAAAAGGGTTAGCATTTTGGTTGTGAAAATAACGTTGCATTTGAATTTTGCTCAAATTTTGGATATGTGCACTATTTGTAAATAGACTTTACCCGACTCAACCAGGCCAAATCCAGAGATCATCGTAAAGATGATGAACGCGCTTGTCAAAATCCACACGGCATCACCCGGGCCAACTTCGTATGGACTTGCATCGACAACAGAAGAAAAATCTGACGGACTGACGTTTGCAGTTGTTGTGTTATTAGCCATTGCAGTTAGCCGATCAAGAAAATGTGCTAGTGCTCTCTCGCTGAGGTCGAATTGTCGTTCTTCTTTAGTAATAACACGGTGAAGGTGTTATGGCGGTCTCTTTGAGAGAGTGAACTCATGAATTTTTTACAATGTTTCATTTACAAGGCAATTTTGTTTATTTCCTAGATCACAGTTTGACTTGAATATTAGGTTTTCTGCCGTTTACGCCTTGGAGTTTTGTGATCAAAATTCAAGGAACCGTCAATTTGTTGGCCATTCAATTCTTTTTTCTTTCTTTTTATTTTGTTAAACTACCGAGGGAAAAAACTGCTTTCACAAAGTCTCATACGTTTCTCTTCGCGGCGTAATATATATATAAGTCTGGACGCATTGCAAGCAAACTTTGGGTCATGAAATATCATCTAGTTTTCTATCTTTAATTTTTGTGTCTTGTAGTTGAAAATCTGATTTTCAGTAGCATCGATGTCCATTTGTAAGTATTAGGGAAATCTCTGAGATTGAAAATATTTGGTGGTCAGCTCATGACTGTTTGGAACTCAGTTTATTAACGTCACGTTTAACTTGTTTTCTCCTTTCGTAAACAAAGACTCTCCATATATCCCGGTTATTTGTAAACAACTGCAGCTGGATAATACAAGCAACCATAGGCACTATATATCATGCAGGGAAGCAACATTTAATATTTTATATAATGGACTTCCATGAACATTTCCATGGCAATAAAGCGCGGTGCTTTTGTATGTGTGTGTGTTCTGTTTTTTTTATGTGTGTGTTTTTTTTGCTTTATTGTTAGACTTCTGGTTAAAGTATTTTGAAAATAAATCAATAAAAGAAAAGCAGAATTTCGAAACACATGCCAAATGCGTTCCACGACTCCCATGCAAGTACTTTTCAAGCAGAACAAATTTACTTCCGAAGACTCCTGTAGTCTAAACTAAAATAATGAGCGTGGCTTCGCGTGGGCATTATGTAAATAAGCTGTATAGAACGTGTAAACCAATAATTGAAATGAATCAGCAAAGTTGCTTTAAAAAGGTAAACAATAAACCGTGGATTCTATCAGCTCAAAGTTATTAAAGATTTTACCAGTAAGCAAATACAAATATTTTTGTATCGTTTTTTTTTTTTATTTAACTAAAAAGATTTTGTCGAAAAGTAGGGGGAAGCCCAAAAGTGCTTTACAAGTGGCCTTATCGGCTATTTATCGAATTCTGGAGAAATAAGAGGCCATATATGCATAAAATGAATAATTCAAAACGAAGAATAAGTTCTCAATAATATCCCCTTTGCTTGTTTTTCTCTCCTACGGACAAAGTAATGACTTGATCAACCGCACCACTGGAAATAATGTATTAATAAAAACAAAACTTTTTTAGGAGAAAAATAAAGTCATATATTGAAAGTACAAATAGCAAACTTTGAAACTCCGCGGCTTTACCGGTTATTTTTATTAATTATTCTTGTAGTGGTTGGTAGTATATCTAAGTATGAAGTCAACTTTAAAGGTCAAACCTATCAAGTGCTTGTAATTTCTAGTGTTTTCGCACTAATATCTCAAAACAAGCTGTAAATAATTTAAGAATTAACCTGCTCGATTGAATTGTATTATTCATGATATTCCGATTCCGAATGAGGCTGAGTTAAGGAAACATTTCTAATTTCAAATTTTAATGCCAGAAGCTCTAAAAAAAAGTTATCGATATCCGGTTATTCTAAAATGGTAAGTTTTTCCTTTTTTTTGTTTTGAAATCTTATGCATGTTTTAGAGTCTACAGTTTAAGCAACCCGTAGTGCGTGGAAAAACTGCCTCCCGATGCTATGATAACTGCCTCCAGATGCTATGATAACTGCCTAGAACACATTTTTTCTCAAGCTGTTTGAGTTTATATTTACGAGACTGCTGTTGACAATTATCTACCTAATTAAATCACAAACATCTGTATTAATTATAACTAGCAATGTTTTAGGTTCCAAAATATTGAGCGAAAGAGAAATAACGAAATAAATCTATTATTAGAATAATCTAGCTGTTTTTGCCATGCTATCCTTACAAAGAACCATGAAAAACAGATATTATGTTCCATGACTGCTCCCGATGTCAATGACTGAAACAAGCTCTTCGATGGAGTTTCCCTTGGAAGGACTCACGGGAAGACCAATAGGTTATGAAGATGCTACATGGATTTTGACCAGTGCGTTTATTATTTTTACCATGCAATCTGGTTTTGGTCTCATTGAATCAGGTTAGTAAATAAAGCACATGAAATTTATAAAAAAAGTTAGATAGTCCGAAACCTTTTATGTCCGAGAAATTAAACAATACTGACTACATGTACAAACTGAAATGAACAAAATGCGATCGATTCGAGTGTCCTCGAATTTTCAACGTGTTGTTCCATTGAAAGGAGAGCAATGAAAATAACATACAAGCGTTAGCTATAAAATCAAGGAACACTCTCTTTTGGCCAATAGTTTTTCTCTAATATATTCTTTTTGAATTCAGCGACTGGGTTACGTAATGAATTTACACTTAAATGTAGCATTAGATTTTTATTTCTGAAATTGTGATACTCATAAAAGCCGTCTTGTGACAACAAACAGACGAGTTCTGGTCCTTCTAGCGAAATAATTTTAAAAAAAAATTCCATTTCGAATTGTTGGCTGGAAAAGATAACACTTCTATCAGTGTACTTTGCGTTCTATTAAAACTTTTCACTGGCATAAAACCGCACAGGAGCATCTGGGTATTTTGTGGTCAAAATATGTAGAATTGGTTTCGTCATGATGTAAAAATTGTATCGACTACACGGCAATCCAAGAAAAGTTTCTCTACGACCGAGTGAAATTTATTGCAAACAGAAGTAAAGCTATCGGAAATATCACAATGCTGTATCTTAATCTTAATTTTTCAGGGATGGTTACGATAAAAAATGAGACTAATATAATGGTTAAAAATGCCATCGACATCATCTTTAGCGGTCTTTCCTTCTGGCTTTTTGGATTTGGCTTAAGCTTTGGTGTGGATGAAGGTACGAACGCTTTCACAGGGGTCGGGTATTTTCTCACAGAGGTTCCTATCGAAAAAGGTGCAGTATATTCAATGTACTTCTTCCAAATGGCGCTTGCTTCGACAGCGACAACCATTGTCTCTGGAGCAATGGCCGAACGGACGAATCTCAAAGCTTACATGCTGTATTCCTTTGTGAGCACGCTCTCCACGTGTTTTCCAACTCACTGGATTTGGGGCAAGAAGGGGTTACTCAAAGAACTCGGAGTCATTGATATCGCTGGATGCTCAGGAGTGCACCTGGTTGGCGGAGCCGCAGGGCTGGCTGCTGCTGTCATGCTCGGACCCAGGCTGGGGCGTTTTGATGACAACAAAAAAAGACCTCAACCGTGCTCCATGACTAATGTGTTGCTTGGGACGTTCATGCTGTGGTGGGGCTGGCTGGGGTTCAACTGTGGCAGCACTTTTGGAATCAGTGGAGGTAAGTTGGTTAGTTCTTATTTTGTTTGATCCGGCTGATCCGTGCAAAACGTGCCGAGTAGAAAGTTAAAAAAGGTCTAGTCTGACTCGGGCCAAGTGGTCCATGACGCCGGAGTTTATCACGGTTGCCGAGCGGAAACCTTCAGACCAGGATAATTCTTAAAGAATGTCTCGATGTGCCTGCCAGTTCTCAAAACTTACATCAACAGTAGATGTATGATAATTAGTGATGAGATTTGATTTTTCGAGATTATGACTCACACTGGTAGCAAAAGCGGGCGAGTGGCACACTATAATGATTGAATAAATCAGCCATGTCTGCTCCTGTATTTTTTTAAGTTAGCAAATGCTAAATAAACCTTGTTATTTCTCTTATTAGCAAAATGGAAGTTAGCCTCGCGAGCAGCGGTCATCACCCTGAACGGCTCAATCGGTGGTGGAATCTTGGGCATTGCGTACAGCTACATCCGCGACGCCGAGACTCTGGATGTCCCGACATTCGTAACTGGTGTCCGCGGGGGCTTGGTGTCAGTGACTGGCATTTGTGCTCTGGCCCGGCCGTGGGAAGGACTGGTAATAGGAGTCTTTGGCGGGCTGTTCGCATGCCTGCTGTCTGACGCCATGATCAAATTAAAGATTGATGATCCAGTGAATTGCGTTTCTACTCATGCTGGGTCAGGAGTATGGGGCATGATCGCCGTGGCTTTGTTTGTGGAACAAGAGAAAACAGAAGGTTTTGCTGAGGAGAAAGGACTTTTTAAGGTGCTGCTTAATCACAGTGCACATGTGTAGAGCGGATTACCTTTACCTTGTGTAGTTTGTTCAAGCTTGCTGACTTGGTTTGATCAGGTCGTGCTTTTCTATGACTGATTTTCCCTAGGGGTCCGAGCATGAGTTCATGCAAACACTGAAAAAAACGCAAGTGTAAGCTCCATGCTTACATCACTTTCAATAAAAATTCCCTCTGATAGCAAACTAAAGTGTAAATGGAGAGGTCAATTACGTTCATTCTTACTGGCTAATCCAAATCAGTTTAACAGATTCTTTAATTTGCTATTCAGGTTCATGATATTGTGTAATTAAAATTTAGCATTTTTTATTTAAAATAAAATTTCCTAACTGGTCCCCAGACATTTCTTTCACTAGAATTCAGGATAATATATAGTCGCTAATTTATTTATTTATATATTTTTCTCGCAGGGAGGAAGTTGGCGACTTCTTGGTGTTCAGTTACTAGCATGTCTGCTAACAGCCGCCTGGGGAGTTCTAACAACAGTTATCATGCTTTACGCGATCGAAAAAACAATCGGGATACGACTTACAAGAGAAGAAGAACTGCAGGGCTGTGATTTGGTGGAACATGGCATTCGCGAAGAAGACGAAGAAGAAGAAGACAAAGGAGAGGTCGACACAGACGTACAAACGAAAAGAACAAGTACAGTTCGAAGAGGTACATGGCAAACTTTAAAGCTCAACGGCCTTGGAGTTGAAGCCTCAGAGGAGGGAAAACGCACAGGATCGTTCAGTATGACGAGGTTGCCGATTGTGGCTCGCATCCTCCGTCGCAAAGACGGAACCAGAAAACCGAATACCACTCAACTTGGTCGCGTTGAGAGCTCATGCCTAGCCAAAGCACAAAAGAATGACGAAGATCCGCAAAGATCCCTCGATTGCAACCGAGTTCGTGTTATTAGTGCCGAAGATGCCCGAAGAGATAACAAACATACACGAGGATCAGAAGATCTGCGCTCGATCTACAGTATGGAGTCTGACATCGAGGAGCTCTTACGAGGGGTTGCAGTGACTACGTCTGATTCATGTTATCCCATGACTACACAAAAGCGGAGTGTGGACAAATGTACACAAGTTGCTTGTGAAGAGGGCTTTCTTTTGGAGTTGTAAATAAGGGAAATTCAGGAACAAATGCTCAGTATGTATCAGATAACAATCAATAACTGAAAACTTTATGCGAGAGTGAAAGTGTGAGTCTTCGATTTTTTCAATTGTTTAATATAATTGTTTTATAATGTTTACTTTCTTTTGTGTGACGAATATTTATCATCCAATTAACAAAATACATGCGCGGAGATTTCAAATAAACAAATAAACAACCTGAAGGACCAAAAGAAATTATTTAAAACAAAATCACATATCTTTAGAATGAACTTCGTGCAGTCCATGAGGTAAACGTAATATAACCTTTCAACTAGCAAGAGCGATTGATATCTTACCTCCCATAACAACGTGTATACACTGTTAAGGGAACAAATGTAGCGACAAGAATAGAAAAGACCGTAATAATCAAAGCCTGGATATATATTGAGACAAAAATACACAATCAAAGGGTGCCCGCGATACTCTGCACTGCTGGACTGAAGCTGGCTTCAACTGGGTTCCAACCCCGGGGGGGGGGCACTCCCTTATACGGACTATATAGGTATGCGCAGCCCTAAAGGGTAGGGTTTTTAGCCGTTTTGGTCATAATTAGGGTATCGATTTTGGACCTTTTGTTCTTAAATGGGGTATGGTTTTAACTTTCTAGTCTTGAGTTGGGTATGTTTCTTAGAAGAAACTACTTTTTCATAATTATCAATAGTACTGTCAACAAAAGCCCTTCATAACTTAAGTTTAGGGCAACTGTGCCAGCCACAATGGTCATAAATAAGGTATCAATTTTTGGCCAGGTCATAAATAGGGTAGCAAAAATCACAGATTTTGGCCATAAATAGGGTAAGGGTTTGGGAAGTAAGCCGCACACAACCACCCAACTTTTCTGGGAGTAATCCCCGGGGTTCCAACCTGCTGCCCATCTGTATCTGTTCTACACTTTCACTGTATCTTGTTTCTTTTTTGGTATCATATATACATCTAACTATTCACTGGAACAAACGCATTTGTTCTCAAGTATCGTTAATGTGTTATCATTATTGGATATGTTAATATGCTAACAGACTTTGAATCCATTCAAGAAGCAATTTTACATTAAATCAATGTTAACGAAAAAAGGACATAAACGTCAAGTATTTGTCACATTTGAACGTTCAGGCTTCAGATTTGATAGTAAATGAATCCATTTTCTAACAGTAAATATTGCGTGTATGATTTTTAGTTTCCAAACAATTACGAAAACAAACGTAAATCAAAGTTACAATGGAGATTACTGAACTGATACCTTTTTTCCACACTTTCGCTCCCCAACCTCCACACGGCATAGAAAAAAAGAAAAAGGATTTGAAAACACTATCTTATAGTTTGCACTCCTTGTTCCGTCATTGATTAGTCTAACATATACATATGCTTTGAGTTATGACATGATTTAATACGGAGGGAGCATTGATGTCACATTCCAATCCCCACATAAAATATCTCACTCAATAAACCGACCTAACTAACGTTGTTCCTTTGTTCTTCTCGAGCTAACATTTAACTACATTATAGATCGCAATTTTCAGTTGCAACACCCGAGGTGACTATATAAACATTTACTTTTTTAAGATGCTTACGTCACTAAAACTCAGTCTAAATTCTCTTGCGTCATCGGCTGGTGTAAGGGTTATGATCACGGGAACCTTCACTTTGGAAAAAGACGATCCCTTGGGGACTTGTCGTTTCTCATTGCCCGAGTGAAGGCTGGACTTTCTCTTGGATTTGAAAACCTTAGCCCATTTACTTTTGGTAGAGATGCTGGAATTGTTGGAGGAACCAATTTCGTGAGGTTCTAGCTCTCGATTTCTGCTTGCGATATTCTGGCAATCTTCTCTGTTTTCTTGTGATCCATCATCGCTTGTACACTCGGCATCAGGCTGCTCACAATCTAGTAACTCAGCGTCACCAGGCTGTCGGTTTTCACACTGCTTCTCACGACTACAGTTGACACTTAAAATTGTTCCTCCAATGTTGTCACCTTCGGTGATCGGGAACACCTTGTTCCGTGACTCTGGAACAGGGTGCACGTGACTCTCGAGTCTTGCTTCTGATTGGTCGATTCCATGCTCACAAGCGTCCGCCCCCAGAACTTCTTCCTCTAAAGGAAATCTCAGACCCACCGATTTATCGATGATGTAGAGCTGTATGAAGACTGTTATGATCGTCCATACAGTTATGGAGACGCAGGCCAAGAGCTGGACTCCGAGTATTTTTACATGGCCGCCCTTGAAAGCGCCATATGTTTCTGAAAATGTGTTCTCGAGCGTGTCCTTTTCAACAAACAGCCCAACAGCTATCATTCCCCAGATCGAGCCTCCTGCATGGGTCGAGACAGCACCCACAGGGTCGTCGATCTTCATCTTGTTAAGGATTTGCCAACCAATGATTGAGATCGCTGAGCCAATGAAACCAATAGCAAGACTCTCCCCAGGCCTCACAACGCCACAGATAGCAGTGATGCTGACCAGGCTACCAAGCACTCCAACCATAAAGAAGGGAATGTCCAACCTGGCAATGAACCATTTTCTCTGTCAGTAACCATTCAACCTGACCTTAAGGACGTTTGCGGGATTTTTTTTTTTTTTTTTTTTTTTTTAGGGCGGTCAGGTGATGAGTTACTTGTGTCAGAAATGCAAAAAAATTGGGGCCACCGACTTCGTTTCAGAGAGAAAGCGTGTGGAAAACTTCCCTGATTTTGAAAAAATGGCGCGCGCAATTCAGTATGGTCTACAGGGATTAATAGTTTAAAATATCAAAGGTGAGTCAACAGAGGCAAACGATCTTAGTCATATTTTGTAGAACTGGGTCTGTTGCGTAAATAATTCCAAACGTTACCAACGTTTTCAGAAACCTTAACCCTTCAAGAGACATTTGTAAACCGTCGCAGAGAAAAACGAGGAGCTAAAAAGAACGGAATTCGATGGTACATTTTGCAAAAAATTCAAACTTCCAGTCGACAGATTTTCTTCATTTTTTCGCTAAACATAAAAAAATCGGTATAGAAAATGATCCATCAAAAGAAAAATAGGGGTCATCGAACGTCCAAGTTCGATAAATCCAGTTAAAGCTATAGCAATGGCCATCTGCCCTATCATTGTTCACTTTATTACTTAGTACACGTTCTCATGCATGGCGTGGGGTGTGAATTTGCGTGCGCAGTAAGGATGCGCAGAAACAATTAGGGCGAACGTCCTAAATTCAGATAACTCGATTTACTTGAAAGCTCATTTTATGGGCTCCCTGAATCTTACCTGTTGCATTTTATATAACTGTAGAAAGTTGCGAACACACCACCACCACATGACGCATTTATAGTGCAGACCGCTGATCGAGAAGCAAGTTTCCATCTTCCACCACTGACCCCAAATGTGCTCCCGCAGTTGAAACCAAGCCAACCCCACCATAACATAAACATACCTGCAATAAAGAAACAAAGGAGATGGGTCACACAGTGCTGTGTGTAAAACAAGAGTCATATACATGCACTGAGTGGAAATAAAATTGAAACTGGAAACAGTCAATTTATTAAGTTGTATCATCATCATCATCATCATCATCATCATCACCAACAACAACAACAACAACAACTTCATTTAAGTGTCGGGGGTATTTAGCTTGGTGGCTAATTGGGAACACTGTTCTAAGTCAGTAGGTCAGGCAACCCACATTCGTGATGATTACAATTGCAGCGTTTCCCCAAGCATACAGATAGACAGACAAACAGAAAATACAAAAGAAACAAAAACAACAACAACAACAAAACAAAACAAAACAAAACAAAAAACTAGCAAACGAACAAACGAGTATGCGAAACAAAACAAAAACAACAACAACAACTGAAACAGATTTGCAGATGTGCTTACCAAGTAAAACATTTGTCGGACATCCCATGTTATGCCTTAATGGTGCACCAGCACCTGAAACACTTTTAAATCTTCCCACTCGAGGCTTCAGCATGATAGTAGCGACCAGTCCAGCTACTCCTCCTACCAGGTGTACCGGACTAGCCCCGCCCATATCGACCACACCCATAGTTCTAAGCCACCCGTTTTCACCCCACACCCAGTGAGCGGGGAAGCAGTAGGTCAGAGTGTTCGTGAAGGCAAAGATGATGTACGCTTTTAAGTTCATTCTTTCAGCAACTGCTCCTGAGACGATGGTCGTTGCAGTTGTCGCAAAAGAAGCTTGGAAGCAATAGAGTGCAAATACATCTCCCATACGCGTTTCTTCCGCATCAGTGAAGAAACTTCCGTAACCAGAGAATGGATTCGCCCCGTGCTCGTTTCCAAAAGTGAAGGCGAAGCCGAACATCCAGAAACCCAAGCCGCCAAATATAACATCTACCGCGTTTTTCACCATGATATTCGCTTCGTTCTTCCTGGAGACCATACCTAAACATAACCAACAATAACAGAATCGTTGTTCACCTATCCCGATAATATCGCAAAGCAAACCACTGCGAAGAGAAAATGAGGCAAACTGACTGTGTTTCATAAATCACATTTTGGCGTTTTTAATAGCAGGTTCTAAACTTCCAATAGGGAAAACACTCCGCTTTTGTGCCTTTTTTCTCTCTGGATATGCTTAGATAGATAGTGCTTAGCTCGACAGCGCTAGAGTAATGTACCCTTAAGCCCCACTCTGTAGAGAACAAATATCTCACTGTATTGTAACCTAGGAAATGGCGTCGAATAACGTATCAAGTATGAAAAATTCATAAACATAACAACTGATTAACATTTCATTTACATTAACAGATTTGAAATAAACTCGCTTTTACGAATAAATAAGGGTGATGAAATAAACTCACTTTTACGGGTAAATAAGGGGTGTTGAAATACTAAATTCAGCGCTAAATTCTGGTTGAATTAATACAATGTGAATTCCGTTTACATGTGTTTTTAGAGGAAGTATTCATTAAATGGTCGGCTAGCTATGCATATATTTCCACGCGTTAAATTTCTAAGTCAATAAAATGCTCGAACTTGAGGAATTACCTATGAAATTTGCAAACACTGGTGACGAATCGAGTGTCATAAATGTTGCTAATTAGTAAAAAGACAATAGACTTCAGCGATGTGGAAAGCACGGAAAAGCTTCTATGTAAATAGAAACTGAAAAAACGACATAATTTGAAAAACACTGACAACCGGTAGGTTTACAGTAAAACATTTTCCAGGGGAAAAAATTTAGTGGAAATTGCCTGAATATTGCTTAAATTAAACTTACCGGATTCTACCAGACCAAAACCAGAGATCATTGTGAAAATTATGAAAGCACTGGTTAATATCCACACGGCATCTCCGGGACCATCCATAGTTCCTCTTCCACGATGGGTCGTCGGTAATTCAGTGCTTATTACCGTGAAAGTCTCGTTTAAAATCGAGGAATTGGTAGGCGGTTCTTCCATTACAGCGTCACTCAACAACTGCTATGGATTTTATTGCTTTAAGGATTTTCTCGAGGCTGAAACTGACAAAAGTGGTTTCCAAATATAAATAAGAGAATGTTGTGTTAATGTATAAAACCAGCCATCAATATATGTATCCGCTCATGCGGCTCAAACACATATCTCTCCGTGATGCGAATTTTTTTAAAAAAGCGACATCTGTCCGAGACTTATGGGAAAGTATTGTTGTCGTTTAAGCATTTCCAGATAATACTTCTGACTGTACTTAAAGTTTGATTTCGAAAATATATCAAATATAAGGTGGGTTATCCATCAGGAATCGAATCACGAGCGATTTGCTAAATAACGAGCCATTTGCTTGACGCGGGTAAGCTTCGGCAAGGAAATATATCGACAATGAACTGACCATGCATGTTCAAATTAAGCAGCCGAATTCGAAGTTTCCTATATGTATTGTGGATATATAATACATTGGGTTACAAACGTACTCAGTGTACGTTCAGTAATATACTCACCTAGCGACGCTTGCCTTTTACTTGAGTTTTTTGTTTTATTCAGCTGGAAGGTTTCCCACAGATCTTCAGCACTAATGAAAACACGTAATTACCCAGTCTGCCTTGCTCACGGCTCGCATCATATATGGTCGTCGAATTCCCTTAATTGTTATTTATTGCTATGAGTTATCCAAACAAACGGTGTAGAAACGAGATGGCCTTCCATTCAATATACTTTTCATCACAATAACCGGCGTATTTGCCAATATGCAGTTATTGCTGCCTGCATGTGAGGCCCACCGCTTCAATTAATCAATATGCAGAAATCTTTAAATGTGCCTGAATAATTAAGAAACTGCACCGGAAAATGCCAAAATGAGTAAAAAGTGGAATCCTAACGACACGTTGGTCGATGTTTTTGGCATTTTGAGAACTACATGTGGCAAAAATAAAGATTTTGTTCCACGCTAAAATAACTCATAAGTTCCAGGCTTCCCATAAATACGTTTTTCAGAGAAACACAATTTTAATATTTTCACCTGCTTAGTTGAATTATGCTAAGATAAGGTGCGCTATATACGAAATAAGCGTCATAACTCATCTTATATTTCACTGAAGCGTAAGCTGTTAATCTCAATCATCCAATTTTTCGAAAACAAGTGTGTGTTAGAAGCGATTGCAGTGCTCCGGTTTTTAAGAAAATACAAGATCTATTTTTAGATTGTTATAGTTTAATATCGGGAAGTTGTGGTAACCTTTAGAAAAACACGAATCAGGCTAAAACAAAATTCTTGCTGGATAAACTCGGATAAATTTACGAAGAACCTGAAAACTAAGGGAAATTCTGATTCTGATATCGGTTGTGAATGGTTTAACAAAGAGGACATATACCACTGTAATTCTTTTCTTGCATAACTTATCACAACGCTCACCTGTCACGGCGAAAAAGAATGGGAGAAAGAAAAAAAAAAAAAAAGCAGGAAACGTGCGAAAAAATTATGGAAAGGCAATGGAGCAAACGAACTTCTGAAAACTGATGGTAGTTAATTTTTCTCAAACTAGGAAGACGTTTACGTTTGAAGAAATAGTCCGGTTTCGAGTCCGTCGTGACCGCTGATTAAAAGCACTGAGAACGCATTTGCACAGGTTTAGCCTCGAACTAACAAAAATATTCACAAATACCGGCGGGAAGGTGCCACAAATTTGAAAATTAAACAATACAAAGAGCTGTAAATAGGGAGTCTTCTCGCTGGAATTTGTGAATATTTTTCTTTAGGTCGAGGCTAACCCTGTGCAAATGCTTTCTCAGTGCTTTTAATCAGCGGTCATGGCGAACTCGAAACTGGACTATCAAAGCAGTATATTATTTGGGCTCGAAACAACGCCAGCAATGTTTTAGAAAACACTTTCATTTGTTATTTAACAAGTAAGTCAAACACCACAAAACCAAACATTAGATCGTCAACTGTTGTTGGTTTTTTATGTTAAATAACGGGAATTGAGATGGGTGCCCAAGTGAGAATAAAGTTAATTAACGACCGACTGACAGGGGCGAAATAAAACGTTTTTAGTTCGCGAAATAAATTCTAGCTCGACCATGAATTAAATTCACTTTATTGAGGAATATCAAAAATGTAAAATAGAAGAGGAAAATGCTAAACTTAAAACAAGGCACTGTTATTGCCACAGTTCTGCAGAGGACAGATTTTTGAAATGATTACACACCTTTTCTGTTTATCGCTAATGTAAAAACCTGTCAAAACAACAGCGAGCATATATTGATTTGTTATAAACATTCAATTTTTCAGTTGTAGGGCATTTCAGTAAATTCTAACACAATGTACCTTATAGGCAACATGTCTGTAGTTCAAAGACTTTTCGTGAGAATTTCTAAGGCTCTCATTGCAGCAAATCTTTAATCATCTTTAATAATCTTCTCTGTCATATATTGTTTTTCAGAGGTCTCTTTGTTTGTCATGACTCACTGCAAATGCCAGCGGGAGTTGTTTTTCAAAACTCAGCTGTGAATTCTGCTGATTAACAAACTTATTATACGTGAAAAGTGAACTTCGTTGAAAGTAGAATTCGTAAAGTAAAATATGAACGTGACACAAAACTCTTCAAACGCACAAAATGTCACAGTCTTATCAGAAGAGCCTGTGCAGCTAAATTCAGACGATGCTACATGGATTTTAACGAGTGCTTTCATTATATTCACAATGCAATCTGGGTTTGGACTGGTAGAGTCAGGTCTGTACAATTTTTTATTTTTATTTTTTTACACTTAAAGCTAGAACTTCAAGTTTTTGACTAGAGATTCCACCATGTCGAGTTCTTGCAACTCGAACAAAAGCAACATGCACGGTATCTTTGCAGAGGCATCAAAATGTGGAGTGATGACGCGATTATGATATTTGGTGTACAAATAAATTAAAGAAAACAATTTTAGAGCTGAATAAACGAGCTCAACGCGTGGTGAATTTGCAAAATGCGTCGTTTTCAAATGAGTTTGTGTAACCACTATCGTGGAAGGGCAACTTCACACACAACTGTACACTACGATAATCAAAATTCAAGTTTGATCTGACTAGATAGTTTTTGTTTCGGCAGAAATGATTATGCGAGCTTCATCACTCCTCTAAAGCTTCGCTTAGAATGTTACCACATAATGACTGTCAGTGCTTGAAAATGAAGAAGTATTGTTAACTGTGAAACGTTTGACCAAAAGTTTAATCTTCAGAGCGCTGTTCTCCTTCGCAGTATATAAAATATTGATCGGTCTTCAGTATTCTATTATACACAGACAAGCTGTCTTCATATCTAATAAGTTTCGAGCCTGAAAATATTATAAAAGCGTATCCAGCTGCAAAAAATATCTTATTCCTAAAGAAACTTCGAAACAGGAAATCTTCATATGCCACTGCTCTGTCTGTCTCATAGTACCGCATCAAAAGAGTTACGAACATAATATAAATCCTCTTGTTTCTTTCACCATGCAGGATAATATTTTATTTGCAGTTTTTAAAAGTTCCGACCGATTTTTATTTTGCACAAATTTTAAGAAACTGACTTTGGGGTAACTTTGAAAAGTTAATCGACTGCATTATATAAATTATCTCTACTGCTACGTGTGTGGTTTCTGGCGATCACTCGATTGTAACAAATTGAGCCTGGTCAAATAATCTTTCCCTCAAGATCTAGTTGCATTCGCTTTTCACCATGCAAAAAAACGACAAATAGTTCTAAAAGAGACTTGAAACACATTTAACATGAGACTTGACTTTCCTGTTTTATTCAATCTATATATATATTTCTAGTGAATACGTTATCGACATTTAAGGAGATAAGTCATTTTGTGGTTTGTTTTCTAGGTTTAGTTTCCCAAAAGAATGAGGTAAATATCATGGTTAAAAATGCTGTTGACGTCATATACGGGGGACTTTCCTATTGGCTGTACGGATTTGCTTTCAGCTTCGGCGTCGCTGAAGGCACTAATGGATTTACAGGTGTAGGTGAGATGATGGAGGCATTTTGATGAATGTGTGTGTTCGACTGATCTTGTTGAGGAAGCCAAATTGGATAAAGGGGATGATCATCACAAATAAGCAATTTTTTCACGAGGGAATGCTTCGTTGAACACTTGACAAATCATTTGTTATTGTTAATTACACTAGTTGCCAAAACTAAAATCAGCTCAGCTCCTCACACTGACAACTCTTTCTGCAAAAAAATCTGTGCAATTAATTATTTAATCGCATCTATAACAAAATTCTCGACAGTAATTGGTTCTCTATGCGCCTATTTGTCATATGATCGTATCTATAACAAAATTCTCGATCGTAATTGGTTCGTCATAACTATTGGCGTACGATAACGTGGATGCCCAATTACAAGTATCCAATTACAACTTTCGCACGTCATTTGTGCGCGCCTTAATGGTTTCCTTCTTAATGCTCCTTGGATGTTGCCCTTCAGTAGCATTTTGAATGAATTGGTAAAAGTTCAATTGAGGCCTTACACCACTGTAAAATGATATTAAAATCTTTTAGAAGATTAGCAGACTAGCAGATTAGGAACAACATGTACTTCTCCTTCAATGATCAAGTTTTCCGCCAAAAAGAAGGCCTACCTATGAGTTCTAACATCTCAGGCATTCTGGCCATCCTATTCATGGACAGACTGGAAACCATCGTCCTCTCTTCACACTTATCTATAAGCCCCTACAGGAGATACGTTGACGACATTTATCTCCAGACAACTGGCNTAGTGCAGACCGCTGATCGAGAAGCAAGTTTCCATCTTCCACCACTGACCCCAAATGTGCTCCCGCAGTTGAAACCAAGCCAACCCCACCATAACATAAACATACCTGCAATAAAGAAACAAAGGAGATGGGTCACACAGTGCTGTGTGTAAAACAAGAGTCATATACATGCACTGAGTGGAAATAAAATTGAAACTGGAAACAGTCAATTTATTAAGTTGTATCATCATCATCATCATCATCATCATCA